AACATATTAAAAAAAAAGATTTTAAATCCTAATGTATTTTTGAGAGGGAGAGAGCAGGGGAAGGACCGAGAGAGAGGGAGACACAGAATCTGAAACAGGCTCAAGACTCCCAGTTGTCAGCACAGAGCCTGATATGGGGCTCAAACTCATAAACTGCAAGATCATGACCTGAGCCAAAGTCAGATGCTTGTCAACTGACTGAACCACCCAGGTGCCCCAACCTTAAAAATATTTTTAAAAGTCCCTTTATTATTGCTTTTATATGAACATAAATGTATAACAACATTAAATAAAAGTAAACGTGTAACAACATTAATGGGAATGATAACCAACACTTTCTAGGTAGTGATTGCCCCTTGGGCAGGAGAGGAGGTGTAGATTAGGGAAATGTCTACTGGAGGTTTCAACATTAGTATTACATTTAGTTTCTTAAGCCAGATAGACATTGGATATATCAGTGTTGGTGTAAATATATAACAATTGAAAGAGATCCTTAAAATGTAATTTTCTGCAAATTCCCCTCAGTAGTACTACTTCTGCTTTTTTAAAAAAAAGCTTATTTATTTTGAGAGAAAGGAGAGCACAAGTGCAGGAGAGGGTCAGAGGGAGAGAGAATCCCAAGCAGGCTCTGCACTGTCAGCACAGAGCCTGACATGGGGCTTGATCCCATGAACCTCAATATGATGAGCAGAGCCAAAATCAAGAGTCTGACACTTAACTGACTGAACCCCCCAGGCACCTCTATTTCTGCTCTTTTTGATACATAAGTATGCATCATTTCATGACCTTTCCTCTGCTCAAATCCCCGATGTTGCTAGCCTCATCTCATTCAACAGATACCCTAGACTTTTGACTTCACGAAGGAAAGGAAGGGTGCTCTGATATGTGCTTTTCATCAACTTCCTTTTTTTATCACTTCAAATTTCCAATTTCTTCATCCATTTGTGTTATTTCTTTTTCTTTTGTGTTGGTAGAGATAGCCATATTTCTTTGTAAATGTAAATAGCCTGACCTTTATTCCTGATCTCTTCTTCCACAGCAAGGGCTAACAAACCTTTCTTGTAAAGGCCCAGATAATAAGCATTTTTGACTTTGAAGGACACACAGTCTCTGACACAACTCCTCAGCTCTGTCATTATAACGCAAATTCAGCCACAAATAATATGTAATTGACTAAGTGTGGCTGTGTTCCAATAAAACTTGGAATGGTGGCAGGATGTGACCCAAGGGCCATAGTTTGCTGATCTATGTTCTACAATATCCAAAAGGTCAGTCTGTCAAGCAATGGCTTGTTTTAGCTGTCACCAATCTCTTCATTATCTTCAGGCCCTCACTCAATACACATTCTATTTCTTCTTGATTTTTCTGCAGGACTTTACATTGTTGAACACTCCTTCTTATATTCTATCCTGATTAGCTTGTTTGATACAAATCATAGTTTTCATCATTTCTACCTACCCATTCTTTGGCTTGTCCTTGGTATATCTTCCTTTTTATGACCTTCCAATTAAAAAAATTGCCATTTAAAAAATATATGAAAAAGAGAAAGACTAATATAACGAATACACATGTACTCGTATCCCTGCTTCAACATTATCAAGAAAGAACCAAGCTATTTTCACTTCCGCCTTCACTATTTTCGGGGGGTGGGGGGGGAGGAGGACACCACTTCACTAATTTTATCTAACACTCAGTAAACATTAAAAATCTCTAATTGTCCCCAAAGTGTCATTTTAGCATTGATTTATTGTCCTACATTTAGTGATACGATTGATTGAGGTGTAAGTAACATTAGCCTGATTCTTCCATTACAAAATTATTCTATCAATGCTTTTTACCCAGGTCTATTATTTAATTAAGGGGTATATGGTGATTGCCTTTTTTTTTTTTTTTTTTTTTTCCGAGAGAGAGACAAGTTCCATGCTCAGTGCAGGGTCTGATGTGGGGTTTGATTCCATGACTTTGGTATCATGGCCTGAGCTGAAATCAAGAGTCAGACGCTCAACCAACTGAGCCTTCCAGGTGTCCCATTTGGTGATTTCCTAATTCTATCTTTCCTTCTATGTTTATTAGTGTTTTAGGGAGCACGGAGAAACCCTTTTGTATTCTTTTCTCACATATGCTAGCACCACATTGACACCACTTTGGACACTAGATGTGTGGGCTTTTTCCCACATCAACTAATTTTCTGACACCAGCTAGATGTCCTATAATCCAACTTATGTCTAAGACTTATCTACCTGGAATTAGCATCGTATCCCACAGGCTAAGGGCTCAGTCTCACAAGACTCCCCCTTCAGACACTAATTGAGAGGCCTGGGTGTCATCTGTACATCTTACTGAATGGCTACAAATTGGGGTTCCCATGATCTCCTCCTTAGGTTTGACACTATGCTGGAATGGCTAACAGGACTCAGAGAAACACTAAGTTTCTTACTGGTTATCATACAAGGATGCAATGAAAGGAATAGGTGAACCTCAGGTGGAAGAGGGGCGGAAGGCAAGGTCTGGGGGAGGGGCAGCGACACGGAGCTTCTGGGCCCTCTCCAGGGGCACCGCCCCCCAGTACCTCCAGGTTGTTAAGCATCTTGGAAGCTCTCTGAACCTGATACTTGGGGGCATTTTTATGGAGGCTTCATCATGTAGGCGTGATTAACCATGAGCTCCATCTCTAATCCCTCTTCCATCTATAAGGATGAGAGCCGACGCTGAAAGTTCCAAGCTTTTCATCATGGCTTGGTCTTTCTGGTGACCAGTTCTTATCCTGAAGCTATCCTGGAGCTCATCAAGAGTTGCCTCATCAGAACAAAAGAGACTCATAGCATTCAAGAAATTCCAAGGGGTTTAGGAGCTCTGTATCAGGACCTGGAGTTAGAGACCAAATCGTAGAACAAAAGATGCTCCTAGTGCTCTTATGACTTAGGGAATTACAAAGCTTGGAGGAGCTCTGTGCCAGGAACTAGCATCAGACACCAATGTATGTATTGCACATATTTTTTTAAAACACATGTTGAATAGGGTTGGAATAGTGAGCAAATTTGTCTGGTTCCTTTTCTCAAATGGGAAACGTTAAGTGCCTGACTGTTAATTATGATATTGTATGATACTGCAGTTTTTTAAAACAAAGTTAGGGAAGCTTGGGTGGCTCTTAGTTTTGGCTCAGGTCATGATCTCATGGTGCATGGGATTGAGCCCTGAGTCAGGATCTGTCTGCCTGGGATTTTCTCTCTCCCTCTCTCTCTGCCCCTTCCCTGCTAGTGAGCATTCTTTCTTTCAAAGTAAATAATTAAACTTAAAAAATAAAAGTTAAAAAAACTCTTTATCAGAGCCAGAAATCTTTCCTTTGTACTTAGTTTGCAAAGAGATTTTTATCATGAATTGATTTTCATTTTATTAATAACCTTTTTTTTGCATCTTTTGAGATGATATGATTTTCCCTCTATTTAAAAAAATTTTTTAATGTTTATTTCTTTTTGAGAGAAAGAGAGTGTGAGTGCGGGAGGGGCAGGGAGAGAGACACAGAATCTGAGGCAGGCTCCAGGATCTGAGCTGTGAGCACAGAGCCCAAAGGGGCTTGAACTCATGTAGCACGAGATCATGACCTGAGCTGAAGTCAGACACTTAACCAACTGAGCCACCCAGGCGCCCCTCCCTCTTTATTTGTGAATAGGATGAAGTTTTTCCATTTCTTTAGTAAACTTATGTTGGTTTGGGTTGTTCAGGAGGCAGATGCCAACAAGGGGAATAGACATATACGATATTTATGGGGAGAAATGACTGTAAAGGCTCAGCGGTGGGAACAAGAGAACGCAGGTCTGACATCTGAGAAAGGAGAGGGCAGACAAAGGAGGAATCGGCAGGCAGAGTCTCAGAGGACAGCAGTGTTTACAAGTTTTTGGTCAGGCCCGTGGGAAGACTTCGTGTGCAGTCACCTGTTTGAAGTGTCCTGGCCTTGCGGAGTCACTGGCTGAGAGCACACTGGGGAGCGTGACTTCGCCATGAACTCAGCAGTGGACCCACTGGAGTGAAAGCTGGACTCTCTGGCCACCGCGCTCCCCACAGCGGCAGGTCTGAATGGTTCTCACTTGCCCTGACTGCAGCTGTGAACAGACGTGTGCAGTAACCCCTGAGAAAGCTCTCTCGAGTTTGCAGAAACTCCACACGTGTCAGTCTGAGTCATACCACCCGGCTGGCCACTGTGACTTGCCAAGGTAGTGCTTAGGAATGACGGAAGTTTAGAATGAATAGTAGGAGGGAAAGGGGGAAAAAGAGTCGCAGTCCCAAAGACTAACTTCAGGAAGGGAATACCTCACCAATACCCCTTTCCTAAGTTTCTTTTAGTTAGGACAAGATGCTCCCCGAGCTGGACGAGCTGCTCCCCAAGCCTGTGTGAAGAAGCAGATGTGTACGCTGCAAGGAGTGGACTGTTGTGGCTGTGAAAATGCACTATTCTTCATTCACACCTTTCACAATGTAAATGTGCTAGAAGAGACTATGGTGGGGAGGGCGCTGGGTGGCTCAGTCGGCTGAGCATCTGACTCTTGATTTTGACTCAGGTCATGATCCCAGGTCATGATCTCAATCATGAGATTGAGCCCTGCTTCGGGCTCAGCAGAGCCTGCTTGGGATTTTTTCTCTGTCTCTCTCTGCTCCTCTCCCCTGCTCTCATGCACTCTCTCTTTCACACACAAAAAAATACATATATATGCTGAGATTAAAAATAAAGAAACCCATGGTCGGGAGGGTCTACATATGATATACAACCTAGGAGCAATAAAAAAAAAAAGATTGATGAATTCAACCACATAAAACAAATTATGCATGGAAAAAAATTTCACATGAAGTCAAATGTCAGATGACAAAGAGGAAAAAACTAGAGCTTCTATCCCAATGTCCTGAATTCTTTAATACCTACAGAGAACTCCTAAATATTTGCAATAAGAGACACACCCATAGCATCGGCATTGATAGATAGTGACAAAAAAAACTCCAAAATCTCAATGGCTTAAACACAAATGTTTATTTCTCATCTGTTTTGTGTCCACGAGGGGCCAGTTAGGGGCCGTTTCCGTGTAGCACTGATGCCGATAAGCAGCTATCTCCTGACGGAGTTCTGGTAGTTGTGGCAGAGGGAAAGTAACTCAACTAACTCCACAGCAAGTCGCACTGGTAATTAAATAGGGGCCTGAAATGGAGAGTCACTAATTCCTCTCACAGGTCATTAGCCAGAAGTAGTCTCACTGCTCTGCCTGAGCCCGAGGGGACCAGGCTACAATCCTGCGTGGGTCTGGGGGGAGAGAAGGACCCAGCTCTGGTGAGCAGCGTCACGCCAGACAGTCTATCACTTCCTTGGTTTCTCAGCTGAAGGTCTCGTCAAAGAAAGACGATGGCATATTTCATTACATTCCAAATGCTGGTGATTAAAGAAGTAAAAGATTCCCTTCTTTCCAAAATTGGTAGTGACATCATGCCGGTCAACAGAGTGGATCTGGGGGTCTGTCAGATAGATGAGCCCTTTTCCATTACCAGTCACCCAACCTAAAAGAGAAATAAAGACGTCTGAGGAGGAAATCGTCTACAAATGTCAGCAAAGTGGTTCAGAAAAATAAAATATGTATGCTTAAAGAGATATTTTGAAAACCTGGTCACAATGGTTTTAATAAGTTTCTGCTAAGGGATTTGGTATTGCATACTCCAATTATTGGTTTAAAAAGGAAACTAAATATGGAGTAATTAAGTTTGTCACATATGACATACCTTGACTACCAATTTTCAAGGAGTTAGCAGTAACTTGATCACAATATATTGAATATTTCTTTCATGATGCATAAGTTTTTTTAGTGCCTAACTCATTAACTCATATATTCATCTGTTCATTTACCAAATATTGATGGAGTATACACACTGTACAAGACACTGTTTTGAGTAGTGGGGATTTAGCAATGAACAAGTGAGTCAAAAATTCCTACACTCGGGATGCCTGGGTAGCTCAGTTTGTTGAGTGGTTGATTCCTGATTTCAGCTCAGATCATGATCCCAGAGTCGTGGGATCAAGTCCCTAGTCAGGATCTGCACTTAATGTGGAGCCTTCTTAAGATGGTCTCTCTCTCACGGCACCTGGGTGGCTCAGTCGGTTAAGCGTCCGACTTTGGCTGAGGTCATGATCTCACTGCTCATGAATTCGAGTCCTGTGTTGGGCTCTGTGCTGACAGCTAGCTCAGAGCCTGGAGCCTACTTCAGATTCTGTGTCTCCCTCTCTCTCTGCCCCTTCCCTACTCATGCTCTGTCTCTCTCTCTCTCAAAAATAAACATTTAAAAAAATTTAAGATTCTCTCTCTCTACCTCTGCTCTTTCCCTGCTCACACATATGCACTCTTTTTTTCTCTCTGTCTCTCTCTCAAAAAAAAATCCCTACATTCATTTAGCTGTCATTTTGGTTAAGTGGGACAAATTAAGAAACAATATGAGTAAGTAAAATATACAATATGACAGAGAGTGATGATAAATGCTACAGAAGGGGAATACAGAAAATCTTGGGGAATGGTCATTGTATCATTACTAAAAATAATTATAATAAACCTCATTTATTATTTAAATGAAGCAAAGAGTATTGGCTCTTATACTAGTATAATAGTTCTGATAAATGAAATAATAGATGAACTGAAACAAAATTAAAATATAAATGCAGAAAACTTAAAAAGTCAGACTTGAGTGCACACAATTTTCTTTTTCTTAAAGCTTTTTTTTAATGTTTTATTTATTTCTGAGAGAGAGAGAGACAGCATGAGCAGGGGAGGGTCAGAGACAGAGGGAGACACAGAATCCGAAACAGGCTCCAGGCTCTGAGCTAGCTGTCAGCACAGAGCCCGACACAGGGCTCGAACCCACAAACCAGGAGATCATTACCTGAGCCAAAGTTGGACGCTTAACAGACTGAGCCACCCAGATGCCCCTGAGTGCACACAATTTTCTGTTCCATAACCATCCCCATTATGAAATCCAATATCACATTTGTAATAAAGGTAAAGGGCTGAAGAAAAGAAAGAGTAGAAGGATTTACACATATTAAAACATGCAATATTAAAAATCCTACATCACTCAAATACACTTAAGTGTAATTTTAAAAAGCTGTTGTGGATGTGCTGTAGAATTGAGCCCAACAGAATCTGAGTGAGATCTTTTTACTGATTATGTGTTATTCTCTAGACTTGTAGAAGCTTTAGTCATTTTTTTTCAGACACCATTTTCTACATACAGTAAAATCAATTTATTAAATTTAATTAAGTTTATTTACTTTAAAAGACAGAGAGAGCACAAGCAGGGAAGGAACAGAGAGAGGATGGGAGAGAGAATCCCAAGCAGGCTCTGCACGATCAGCACAGAGCCCAATGTGGGGCTTGAACTCATGAACTGCAAGATCATGACCTGAGCCGAAATCAAGAGTCATATGCTTAACAATCTGAGCCACCCAGGCACCCCGTAAGATTAATTAAGTTAGTTACACGTAGTAGTCTAGGCACTGAGCAATCTATTAAATAATGACTAGAAGAGCTAGTTACAAGACCTCACATTTACATCTGAATAACACTAAAAGTAACTAATTCCCAATTTCACATACCTTGTAAATCGACCACAACATCTTTATGATTAGAAAACTCATAGGAGAAATGGCCATACGCCAAGCCATATTCTGTGGCTTTGTATTCTGTTTTAACTACTTTTGCATTATTTGATAATTTTACAAATTCTCCCAGGATATAAGGTTCCACACTTATACATCCCTTTATTGTCTTGCCTTCCAAAATCTGAAAAATAGAAATGGGAGACAATATACCATAATGGTTAGGAAGGCTGCAGGCTTTGACCTCACTTTGAACCCAGGCTTCACCACTTAGGAGCTTTGTTACTCCTATAGATTTTGGTTTGCTCATTTGCAAAGCAGGTATTATAATAATAGCCACTTTATAGTATTGTTAAAAGAATTATATGAGAAAAATGCATGTAGGGTGGCTAAATTTTATGTGGTGTATGATAGAACCTAAAATTATTATTATTCTTTAAAATGCTCACATAAAAACAAGGCCATGATGGGACCCAACCCAGGGAGCTAGCTTGTCAGCATATGTAGATAGATCACACGCTGGAATGCAGGGTTAGAATGTTAGCTAAGCATTTGTGTGTATCATCTATTTTGCAGAGTTGTTTCAGAGGTTAATGTGTTAAATGTCTGGCATAGTGCTTGACATAAACAAAGTGAGAAATGGATGCTGGCTATTATTAGTAGTAATAAAATATGGGCCTAAGAATGTCTCTGGCCAAAGTAAAAAAAAAAAAAAAAATCCTTTAGGTGTGAATGAGCCAGGGATTCGACATAGTTGGGGAGGCAGAATATTCTTAATCCAAATAAGAGAAAAGTCAGTGGAGATGGATGGTTGACTTTATATATTTAAAGAGATATCTTAGTGAAAACACACTGGTATCAATGGCCCCAGAAGGTAGAGCTGTAATCACAGGTAGAAATCAGAGGAAGAGAGGTTTGGGTTAAATCTAAGAGCTTCCTAACAATTAGAATTATTTGAAAGTGAAAAGGGAATAATTATTTTTCCTTAGTAATGGTGTTTAAGTTATGACTTAGTCACCACTTGGTTGCAAGGGGCGGGGACTAATAGATGTGAAACAGAGAATTCATGCATCATGTTGAGGGAATAACTTGTACTCTGTATCATCTTCAGGGTCCTTCTTTTTTCTTTGAAAGTACAGACAGTACTCAAAGAAAGGATACTACAAATGCTAACTTGACCCTGTGGGATCAGATACCAGAATTAACACAGCGACTTTGAAGATCCAAGATCCAAACTGTATATTCAGGGTAAAGAGAGTCATAGTTCTTACATATCTAAGTAGATGAAACAGATGAAGTAGATAAAGGAATCTGGTAACTGATTTACTGGAATTTACCAGAAATCTAACCCGACGTATATTTACAGGCCTGGTTAACCAAATCCTTACTCTCCTTAATCTTACCAGTAATACTGTGGATGGGATATAGAATATCTGTGTTGGAATCTTTTGTTCATAAAGTCTCTTGTTAAATTCTGTCACGTAGTGCTGTGCAGTCATTTGCCGTTCCACGTCAGCGAAGTGGTGCCAGAGCCCCTTCTGCTCCTTATATTCTTTCCCAACATATCTATGAGCAGAGAAAAAAAATACAAAAAGAAATGCAGAAGTGATCTTACCATAGAGTAAGAGAGCAGAGACCAAAGAAGATATGCAAAACTGCTTGAAATGTGTTACTCTTTTTCTACCTTAGTCAATATTAACTACCTTGAATTCTCTCATGACTCCAACAATTTTGTAAGAGCCTCCTGAACAAGAGAACATAATTCATGCTAGCTGGCTGTGATGGTTAATTCTATGTGCCACCTCGATTTGGACATAAGGTGCCCCGGTATTTAAGCAACAGTTATTATGGGTGTTTTTGTCAGGTTGTTTTGGGATGAATTTCACATTTGAATCAATGGACTGAATAAAGCAGATTGCTCCCCCTAATGTGGATGGGCCTAATCCAATCAGTTGAAGGACCAAACAGAAAGACTGACTTTCTCCCCAAGCCTCTTGCCAAACTGCCTTTGGGCGAGACATGGGTCTTTTCTTGCCTTTGGACTTGAACGGAAACATCGGCTCTTCCTGGGTCTTGAGCCTGTTGACCTTGTCAACTACACCATTAGTGGTCCCGGGTCTTCAGCTTGCCAACTACACATTTTGAGATTTTCCCGCCTCTATAATCATGGAAGCCAATTTCTGACAGGAACTTGTCTATATATATTTGCATCTTCTTGGTTCTGTGTTTCTGAAGAACTCTGTCTGACACACTGATCCAGGATGATACTGATATAGAGAAAATCCCCAGTTAACGAAGCAGTCTGCCCAACTTCCTTGGTTAGCTAAGGGAGCCAGGATGGGCACTGAAAAGTGCAGACTCTGCAACCAGATCTTTTACTACCTGCAGCGTGGGCTTACACAGGCGAATTAATCAATCTGAAGCCTTCCTCTGTCCCTTCCTTTTGTGATCTCTTCATCTCTACAAAGATTTGTTTCCATCATCGCCTATTATGTGTACAGCATCGTGCTAGCTAGCCCTGAGCATTTTGAAGAAAGTATGAATTATGTATATTTCAAGGACTTACGCATAGTTGGAGACAAAATATATGAGGCAGTAAATGATTAAGTGTTGAAAGGAGCAAACAGTAACTATCACACTTTTTTAAAAATCATCTCACCTCTTTTTTTAAATTAATTTTTTAAAATTTATATCCAAGTTAGCATATAGTGCAACAATGATTTCAGGAGTAGATTCCTTAATGCCCCTTACCCATTTAGCCCATCCCCCTCTCACAACGCCTCCACCAGCCCTCTGTTTGTTCTCCTCTGTTTGAGTCTCTTATGTTTTGTCCCTGTCCCTGTTTTTAAATTGTTTTTGCTTCCCTTCCTTTATGTTCATCTGTTTTGTATCATAAAGTCCTCATATGACTGAAGTCATACGATTTCTGTCTTTCTCTGACTAATTTTGCTTAGCATGATACCCTCTACTTCCATCCATGTAGTGGCAAATGGCAAGATTTCATTCTTTTTGATTGCCAAGTTAACTACCATGCTTTACTGCGGTTTATATTTGCTATATGTTGGTGTGAATTCATGAGTAATTCTCATGTGTCCAGAGTGACGTCCAAAAATCAAAGGGAACTGTTGGAGTTATAGGCTTCAACTAGAGAAAACTCCCTCCAGAAATACCTGAGTCCAATAGGATAATGCAATCCAAGTTGGCTGCAACCATGACCTTCTGGGGATGAGAAAAGAAAGCTGACCAGCGAGGCTGCAGAGACGGAACCCATGGAGCATCAGAAAGCAGCCCGCAGGGGAGCAGCTGTCCTGATCGAGGTATTCCGTCAGTGCCTGGAGCATTTCTGCTATGCACTGACCTCTGGGCCACAGGAGCTTTGAACCAGTTCAGAACTTGGAGCAAACCTCGGTACTGGATCATTTCCCAAACATTCTGTCAGAGGGCCTCCAGTGCCAGGTATGGGATCATCAGTCTGGGAACAGAGGCCCATTCTTTCTGGCATCTTATGCCATTTTGCTGGGACCATTTATCTCCAGTAAAGATATGTTAGCAGTAAACTCTTTCTTCTTCGGCTGCTTTTAAGATTGTTTCTTTGTCCTTGCTGTTCTAAAGTTTGACTACTATGTGGCTAGAAGTGGATTTATGGTTTCCTTCCTTCCTTCCTTCCTCCTTCCCTTCCTCCCCTCCTCCCTTCTAGTTTCTTCCCTCCTTCCTTTTCTATCCTGCTTAGGATTCACTGCAATTCCTATATTTGGAGATTAATGTGTTTTGGCGATTCTGGGAAATCATCAGCTATTATCTATTTACATAGTGATTCTTTTCTGTTTGCTTTGTTATCTTTTTCTGATCAGACATACATTGGACCCTCTCACTCCATCTTCCATGTTTCTTACTCTCTTTTATTTCCCATCTCAGATCCTCCTGTGATGCATCCTGGTGTATTAAGCTTCTTAGGACTGCTGCAACCAAGTACCATAGATTGGGTGACTTACACAACAAAAATAGATTCTCTCACAGTTCTGGAGCCTAGAAGTCCAAGATCAAGCTGTCAGCAGGGCCATGTTCCCTCTGAAGGCACTAGGGAAGGATGGTTTCCAGTCCTCTCTCCTGGCCTCTGGTGGTTCCTGCCTTGTGGCAACATAACTACAATTTCACATGCATTCTCCCTTGGTACGTGTCTCCCTCTTTCTTTAAAGGTTTATGTATTTTTGAGAGAGAGACAGAGTGCGAGTGGGGGAGGGGCAGAGACACACACACACACACACACACACACACACACAGAATCGGAAGCAGGAACCAGGCTCTGAGCTGTCAGCCTGGAGCCTGACGTGGGGCTCGAACTCACAAACAGCAAAATCATGACCTGAGCCGAAGATGGACACTTAACTGACTGAGTCATCCAGGCTACCCCAAATGCATGTCTCTCTTTAAATCTCCTTTTCATAAATTTCATAGCCTGTGTCCCCTCTGTCCCCGCCTCTCTCTGCCCCTCATATGTGCGGGTGCATGCACAGTCTCTTCCTCTTTCTCAAAAATAAATAAACATTAAAAAAAAAATTTCCTTTTTATAAGGATACCAATCATAGTGGACAAGGGGCACACTATTCTCCAGTATGATCTCATCTTGACTAATTACATCTGCAATTACTCTATTTCAGTAAGATCCTAGTCTGAGTATGAGGGGTTAGGGCTTCAACATAAGAATCTGAGGCTGGGGGCACAGAGCTATTAAGAAATCATTCAACCCATAACATAGGGCTCCATCATTTGGATACATGACTTGGGGCAAGTTTCTTAACATCTCTGTACCTCAGTTCCCTCATCTGTAAAATGGGGATAATAATATTGACCTCACAGGGTTTTGTGATGATTGATTAAGTCAGTACATAAATGACTTAAAATGAGGCTTGGCACATACATACCTGGTAAGTATATGTATTGTTTCTATTATTATAATTATCATCAACAACCTTTTTAGCAAATGTACTTCCACTGTTTAAGAACCACCCAATTTCTCTCTCTCTTATTTCTTCTCTTCCTACTTATTCCTTAAATTATTTGGATTTGGATAGAGAACAGGGTCCACCTTAAAATTCGTGGCTTATAGGTCTTTTTAGATACACAGATGATGTGAAAGTAGCCCTCACACCCAATGGGAACACCTGTGGTTACTAATTTTTCAAGTGAGTTTTTACTTAAAGTTGTCATCAAGAACTACGGCCAAACTAAAAATTTTCCAGGTGTTTACCTCAGTGGGGTGGGTATTTTTTTTTTTTTTTAAGACAACCTTTTCCTGGAGGACGTAGCCATTCTGAATCCTTGCTTTATATGGATGGTGGTCTCCAAACTCATTCCCTTCCATGTGTCATTTTTATCACTAGCTGCCGCCTCATCCCACCCCACTCAAAACTTGTATAGAATGTCCTAGGGGCTCGGTATACACTTATCTGCCTGGAATGCTTCATATCCCTATGCTCAATGGATTTTCCTACCTTTTTGGCAGGTCCTTTATTGCTTATAAGTGAAGCTTTCATAGTTTAACTAGATTTTTTGCCAGCATTTTTTAGTGGGAGTGTTTAAGGCTCTCTGTCCTGCCAGATGGTCAGAAACTCCATTTTCTTATCTGTACAGTGGGGATAATAATGTTTCCCTGATAGGCTTGACATCATGTATATCTATGTAAAATGGCTGACATAGTGTTGGTCAATGTGTGGTAACTGCTATTAACTAATTAATGAGGAGAAGGAAGGAGTAGATATCTGAAAATATGCATTTTGGCCAAATTTTTCAGCTCTTTCAAAATCTCATAAATGATTAATTAAGAGAAAGGTATAATTAACCCATTTTACATTAGTGGTATAGGTGTTTTAAAGAAATACCTCCCCAGAGTTTCTTCTTGATGAAGATGATGAACCCAAAAAGCATTTCTTTGTCTACCTTTCTTCTTCACATTCAGGTAGTCACCCAAATATACAACAGTTTCCTGGGCTGTCCATAATTCTGATTTTTTAGAATATTTTAATAAAAGAGCATCTGAAAAAAAGGTAAGAAAAAAACGGATGTTATTTGTTTAATGTTTAATTTTAAAATTTTTTATGTTTATTTTTGAGAGAGAGACAGAGACAGAGCACGAGTGGGGAAGGGGCATAGAGAAAGAGGGAGACACAGAATCTGAAGCAGGCTCTAGGCTCTGAGTTGTCAGTGCAGAGCCTGATGTGGGGCTCAAATCCATGAACTGTGAGATTATGATCTGAGCTGAAGTCAGACACTTAACTAACTGAGCCACCCAGGTGCCCCTAACGTTTATTTTATTTTTGAGAGACAGAAAGCACATGTGCGGGGGAGGGGCAGACAGAGAGGGAGACAGAGAATTCAAGCAGCTTCCTGGCTCCAACCTGTCAGCACAAAGCCTGACGTGGGGCTTGAACTCATGAACCAGATCATAACCTGAGCTGAAGCCAGACACTTAACCAATTGAGCCATCCAGGTACCCCTAGATGTTATTTTCAAAGGGATGTTACAATTCATGAATAAATTTGAAGCAACACAGATCCTAATCCAGCTTGTCTGAAATCTTTAGCTTCTTTAGATATTTTCTCAAATTTTAGCCTTTTCTATGAATACTACTAAAAGGTTAGTGAAGTGCAATAAAAAAATAAAGCTTTGCACATATAATGAAGAATCACAAAATCTTTCTCTTGTGATTGAGAGGGATTAAGGCCAGAATTTCTGTATGAAAGCAGTGGAGGGGCATCTGGGTGGCTCATTCAAATGAGCGTCTGACTCTTGATTTCAGCTCAGGTCATGATCTCATGGTTCATGGGACTGAGCCCTGTCTCAGGCTCTGCGCTGGCAGTATGGTGCCTTCTTGGGATTCTTTCTCTCTCCCTCTCTCTCTGCCCCTCCCTTCTTTCTCTCTAGAAAGAAAGGAAGGAAGGAAGGAAGGAAGGAAGGAAGGAAGGAAGGAAGGAAGGAAGGAAGGAAGGAAAGAAGAAAGAAAGAAAAAAAAAGAAAGAAAGAAAGAAAGAAAGAAAGAAAGAAAGAAAGAAAGAAAGAAAGAAAACAAGCAGTGAAAAATAAAGGGCTTTTTAAACAGTAAAATGCCAGAGACTATTTTCAAACAGTGATACATGCTTGCATCTTCTTCTAATTATCTGATAATGGAGGCTATTACCTGTGCCAGGCCATATAGATAGAAATAAATGAAATAATTTACCTTAGAGATTCCTGGAAACTCCAGACATCATGTACCTTAATTTTCTCTGAGTTGTTTTAAGTTGGGAAAGTCCAGGAATTACTTGAGAAAACACAGCTGCTCTACAAAGATGCTACTCAATTGAAAAGGGAAAAGATAGGAAGGAAAAGTAAAAACTGTCTCCACCTGAAGGAAAGGGGGAGCAGTGCTAGCAAGAAAGCATTTCTTTGAGGGGGAAAGACATGAGCCCTGAGGAAGAAATGCAACATTTTGGGATCCAAGTTAAAATGAAGTGAACAAGGACCTCCTGCATCTAGGTTATGATAATGGATGAATGAATGGAAGACTCAGGAGAACAGTACTTAAAATAAGATAAACTCACGGGTCTGGGGTTGGGGAGGGAGATGATTGGAGGCTGGGGAAGATAGTGACCAGGGCTGGGCAACTCAATCAGAGAAGCTGGGGTTGGAAGTAGAAGGTGGGCCGCTTGCACACATTCACAGGAAGGGTAGTGAATTGAGGGGAGAAGAAAGGAGGAAATGTACAACTTGCTTTGTTTTCCAGCTTTGGGCTTCCTCTCTTTTTCTTACCTGTACACTGGGGATAATAATGTTCCCCTAATGGGTTTGAGATCATGTACATGTGGCTTTTCATCCACAAACTGGCACATAGGCATAACAATCAAGCAGTTGCTTAATTCTAAGGAATGGGATTCTGAACCTTCAGAGTCCCTAAGTAGGAATAGGAAATAGGGAAACCCTATTATAGTAGAACATTTTTTTTTATAACAACCTGAACTATATTTTAGTCTGACTTCAAGGCAGCAGGCAAAACACTGGAATACTCTGAAGCGGAAGTTATTGACATTGGCTTTATACAAAGTCACTGGAGAGCTCTTAAAAAATACCGATGCCTGGATCCAAACCCCAGACCCATTAGATCAGAATCTCAGGGGTGAGGCACTCGAAGTTTTACAAAGTTCCCCAGGGGATTCTCGAGTGGTGCCAAGATTGAGAACTACTACTTTAGTATCCAATGCTTAGCAACCCATATAGCGTGTGTCTTCTGAAATGTGCTTTGCAAGTTTTTTTTTCTCATTCAAATAAGTTTTCAGTATCTTGGAGGGTATTACAATCCCCTGGGCTAAGAGAAGAGCCTTCTTTTGTCTTCTTCCCAGCGTCTTCACTACTTCTAAGCTACATTAGATTACGAGGTGCCCCACCCAGGCTCCCTGCTATGGTAAGTGACCTTGGGTGATCCTGTAAGCAAGATGTAGTTACTGACTGTAATAGTAGGGGCCACTTGATCAATCCACTGGCTGGAAAGAAACCTTGTGGACAATCTCTGCCCACTAGAGAAGTGATGTTTAACTAGGTCAAACTCTGCCCTGCCCCTCTAGAATTTGAATGGAAAAAAATAGAAAACGGTTGGTAATGAGAATCCACAGAAAAGACAGATGCTGAGTGGATATGGCACGCAGAGCTGTTTTAAACCCTGACTGATGACTGTTCCTTACTCCTGTGAGACTCCTGTCTGCCTTACTGCCTATGTATCTTCACAGCAAGTCCCCAATACATGAGGCGACCTGAGAAAGCCTCTATTCTATGCAACCATTAGAGTCTGCCACACCAAGAGTGAGGGCCGGGGCCCTTGAAGGTCACATTTTTCTGTAGAGTCAGAGAGCATGACAGGGGTCTGTGTCTTTCATGAGCTTTAAGCAATCTACCTTTTAAGCTCTTCAGAGGACCCCAAATGTACATAGATGCCTCCTGAGGCCGGACCTACTGAAAAAGGTTGTACTTACTGTGTGCTTGGTGCAGTTGATTGGGCTTAAAAACTCCCGTATTCTCCAGTCTCTGTAAGAGCCAATCATGCCTCACTCCTGCCAAGAGTTTTTCAAAGTCATCCGTGTGCAGGGTTCGAGCCTCTAGGATCTCTTGCCTTGTCATTCCTGGCAACGAAACAAAAGAACTTCCGCTGGAATTCAGAAAGGACGGTGGGCTTTCCCACTCGGAAGAACCGCTGGAAAATGCTGGTGAATTCAACCACCACACTGAGGAGGTGGAGTTCTGGCTGCAGTTTAGCATGTTTCCTAGTTTGTTTCCTTCCTCCGTGGTAGTGCAGTCCTTGCTAAGACCAGGGGAGGGAAGGCTACTGCCTACAGAGGAATTGGGGGTTTCGGGTCCCTGACCACGCGGCTGCCTCAGAGCACATAGGCCACGCCCGCTTGTGGGCTGAACATCTGTGCTGTCGAGCAGGTGGGCCTCCTCATCCACTGTGGAGGCATCAGGGTCGATGCCCTGCTCTTTGACTGGGCCACTGCTCTTTCCTGAGTCAGGATTTTGAACAGGCCAATGAAGAGTGGAAAAGCTACACGCCATCCCGGAACGTTTGCCCAGGGGATCCTCCATGACTATGTCAGAGTCTAAGGGCATATCCTCTTCTTTTTCTGCTGTTTCTCCTTCTGGGTCAACCCAGGCAGAGCTTTCTTTAAATGTAAGGCCTGTGCCTCTTTTGATTTCCTCTCCATATCTGTCTTCAGCATCACAATCGATTTCTGGAAATTTGTCAATTAGTTCAAAGGATTCTTCTTCTCGAACCAAAGGATACGTGGCTGTGTTCTTGGGCCAACCAGCATCAGAAGAGGACAAAGAAGCAGAACCAAACGAGGGTCTGGAATGAGCAGAAGTATTTCTGGGTCCCCTATTTTTGACTTTCTGCACATCTTCTGGAGCTCCTCCTAACAGACCCGCCCCGGGGGCTGAGAACGTGCCTGTTGTGTTACGAGGATGGGAGGTTGTCAAGGGCACGCGTCTGTGCGGCTGACTTTGCAACGACTCTAAATTGTCATCCTCGGACACTTGGAGAGAGAGACCGTGAAGTTCTGAAGACAGTGGGTGCACAGGCCTGGTTTCCTCATTGATCTCGAGCTCTTCAGACAGGGCCGCAGAACATGCAGTATCCACAGGACGCACTTCTTTGCGAGGCTCTTTTCTGGCTGACTTATCGTCCACATAATTCACTTCCTCCCAGCTGGCAGAGGAACTAACCGCCGATAACTTGCTCCAAGAACTGGAGCACTGGCTGTCACTCAGAGACTGGTTCAAAACAGCTCCTTCACCATAACTGTGATCTGATGATTCAACCTCAGTTTCCATATCTTGATCCAAGGAGACCCGAAAGGCATCAGAACGGGTCCAGTTTTTCCTTGCTATCCTCCTGGGTTTCTCCTGGTCAATCTTAGCCATTTGGGAGGAAGATACTGCCATTCCTTTTTGAAAATGTGGTTTGTCTTCAGTAGCGCACACAGTATCTATGTTTTTTGTCTCTGTTTTTAGAGTAGTGATACAGACTCCCGTTTTGGTATCTTTCTCTTTATCTCTGTAGTTTCCACAAGAGCTTTCAAATACTTCACACACTGAAGTGTGGTGCTGTGAGTAAGTCTCAAGGATATTTTGGAAATCTACTTGCCCATGCAAGATGGGTTTATCCAATCCATGCTTGAAACTCTCTGGAACATAAGACTTGTCTTCGAAATTTGAGAAGCTTTGAATTTGTAAGTGATCCTTTACCTGTGTGATAACTGACATGATCTCCTTAGAGAGAGCTTCTCTCTCCTGACTTCCAGAGGAAGTACTGAAACGGTACAGCTTTCCCATAGCTTCATTACAGAGCTGACCTGCGGTATGGACCACCTCTGTCTCCCCATACAGTCTTTGGTGCACAGTGGTGAGGCCAAAAGCAGCTTTGAGAAGACTATGAAGCTCTTGTTTTCCACTAACTGATTCATCATCTCTCTTGGTGAGGAGGCCAATTTCAAAGGCCTCTTTGGCTTCACACAGATACAGATTTTTCATTTCCAGAGGACAGTCGTTAGAGCTACTATATGACAACAAGCACGTGCCACGGATATTCTGAGGAAAATACCAAGTACAAAATCAGACAAAATGAAATACAAACTGGAAGTGAATCAGGAAAAACTTCATTCCTGGAGGGTGGTCATTAGAAATATTCTAGGAAGATAAGCACATGGCATAAATAGTCTAAGAAAAATACACAATCAGAAATTGAGTCAAGGAACTAAAGTCTCTTTGGTGAATAAAGGAAAGGGCCTGGGATGTATGCGACTGGTTGGCATGAAGGGGTAAGAAATTAGCTTTAACTACAATCTTAATATAGGCCTGATACTTTTTAAGAAAAGTTTATTTATTTATTTTTTTTAGTAATCCATATACCCAAAGTGGGGCTTGAACTCATGACCCTGAGACCAAGAGTCAAATACTCTTCTGACTGAGGCAGCCAGGTGCCCCATGCCTGATAATTTTTGATCAAAGATGATAAATTTGTTGTTACTGCTGTTGTTAGTTTTAGCTAATGGTCTGTACATGGGACATGTACATAGTAATTCTCCCTGTGCAAATAAGGCTGCTATATATAAACATATCATTTACTTAACAATAGTCAAAACAAGAGAGTAGTGGCTTGCAAACCCCTCTGTGCACCTGGGCAGTATTTCAAAATAAAGGATTTCCGAGCATCAATCCCAGACGTTTGCATTTAGTGGGTCTAGGGTGGATTCTGCTGTGCTTGGGAACCATTGGTTTAAGGCAGACAGCATCAGATCCATGGGTTGAATTAATTTAGCTTCCACGAGAATGTCACTACCCTGACTGATAAAACCTTCCCATACATGAGGTCTGATCACAATTATCTACCGATGTGCACAAAGCCTACTTTAGGTTAGACTTTTTCCTCTCACTAGTAAGTTCCCATCACTGGGCAGAGGGACAGTGTAGAGCTGTGCTCTGCTTACCACAGCTGTGAGCACGAAGAGGGGTGTGTAGGGACTGAAGGCAGCTGCCAGTTTGCAGGCTTCTGCAGCTGAGAGCAATTGGTGGTCAAACTCCTTCAGCAAACCCTGCGACGAAACAGGCCAAGTGTTGTGTTGACAATTATTTATCCATTAGCAAAAGTCAGGTGATGAAATTCCTTTACTTTCCTTTCAGGATTCTGAGGGACACCCTGCCCCTCAGCACAACCACAACTGAACAGTGCCAAGAATGAGTTAAGTGTCTCAAAGGACCCTAGGGAACTGAGTGTCCTTTCCTCCAATACCCAGACACAGTCCATCCCCCTCCCTCCCCAGATCGGGCCTAACGTGCGCAAAATAATTCACACAAGTTTCTCTGCAGGATCATGCAACTCTTTGTTCACAGGAACCTCCCACATTTTGCAGCCAAATTAGCTGATGATTTCTGCAGGGTTCTTGGCAAAGAGCCTTTTAATGTATGATTTCACAGCAATTAAGATTCATTCATTCATCCTAGATATACGCATTGAGTACCTCCATGTCCCAGGCACTGTTCTAAGCACGAAGGAGACGGCAGACAGTGAGCCTGCAATAAATAAGCTTGCTTCCTATTGAGGGGAGGGAATCAGTCAATACACAAAATGAGTAAAATGCATAGTATCTGGCATGGTGGCAAGCAGATGAGAGAAAAATACAGCAGGAAGAGGTGAGGAGGCAGTTTGCAATTTTTAAAAATTTAATCTTCTTTCTTTCCTTCTTTTTAATGTAAGCTCTGTATCCAACGTGGAGCTTGAACTCACGACCCTGAGCTCCAGAGTCACATCCTCTACCGACTGAGCCAGCCCAGGTGCCTAGCAGTTTACACTGTTAAACAGTCATCAGAGACAACTTCACTGAACAAGGGCTATAATCCTTTTCTTGTGTGTTGGTTTTTTGCTAAAACCCAGATTGCTAGCAGCAAGCTGCAAGCGTTCTTATGCTATACTCATTACTATTAAATATGGTTACTATTGTCACTTTAGTATTTAACAAAAATGCCAATCTTTGTGAAACTATCAAAAATCTCAATATCAGGGGCACCTGGATGGCTCAGTCTCTTAAACATCTGACTCTTGATTTTGGCTCTGGTCATGATCTTACCGTTTGTGAGTTTGAGCCCTGCATAGGGCTCTGTGCTGCCATCACGGAGCCTGTTTGGGATTCTCTCTCTCCCTCTCTCTGCCCCTCCCCCATTCATGCTGTATCTCTCTCAAAATAAATAAATTTAAAAAATAATCTCATGGCTCTTGAATGCTGAGAACAAACTGAGGACTGATGGGTGTTGGGGGGGAGGGGGAAGATGGGCATGGAGGAGGGCACTTGTGGGGATGAGCACTGGGTGTTACATGGAAACCAACTTGACAATAAAATATTTATGAAAAATAAATATATAAAAATAAAAAATAATCTCATTATCAGTGCGGTGCAGGAGAGCAGTTCAATGTTTATGTTAATGCTCCAGACTGGTCGGAGACCTGAGTTCTGCTCCTTGGTTTTCTTCCTATCCGGTATGCAAACTATAGAGGACCTCAGTTTATTTTTCTCTAAAATGGGAATGATACATTTTGCTCTACCTAATTCATAGGGTTTTGTGTAGCTCATATATATATGAGCTATACTATATACTATATATCCTGCTACATAAGGATATATTAGTAATCCTTATTATTTAAGTTTTTTCAATGTTTATTTACTTTCTGAAAGAGAGAGAGAAACAGAGAGTGAATGGGGGAGGGGTAGACCGAGAGGGAGACACTGAATCTGAATCAGCTCCAGGTTCTGCGCTATCAGCACAGAGCCCGATGCAGGGCTTGAACCCACGAACTGTGAGATCATGACCTGAGCCGAAGTAGGATGCTTAACCCACTGAGCCACCCAGGCACCCTAGTAACCCTTATTATTAAAAAGTAAGAACATAGGCAAGTGACAGATGCTCTGATTTGAATAGAGGGTAATCAAAGTCTTAGAATTGTTACCCCTTTACTTTATCACCAAGAGGGCCCAAGTGTGGAAACTGAATTCTGTGATAATTTGAAAGGAAATCAGTGGGATTCAAAGCATTTATCATTTTGATGACATTTACGCATTCATTCACTCATCATTTTTTTTTTTTTAGTACCCTCGGTATGTGTGGTACTGTGCTAGGTGTTAAGATAGTCAAGCCAAATAGGACACCCATAAGAATTGTCCCCAGGATTGTTCATGTTACTTGAAAAGGGGAGACACTGTGCTCCCTGACGCCTGGAAAGAGAATGAGATTGATAAACCAAGCACCAAAAACTTTGGCAGTTTTGTAGGTGATGCCACTCTGCACCAATTGGTAATTACCAAGTTAATCTGTGGATTGTTTTTAAACTTTTCATAATCTTTTTTGCTCATGGAAACAAAGATGTCTGCCAGTATACCTAGCGATGTGGAAATACCCTGTAAGAAAAATACAAACAAAACACAGATTAGGAATTTAAGGTCTATTACTGTTTTCATCACAAGGCCTGAAGGCAGTGATCAGTCCTCCATATGAACTACTGCTGCTGCTGCTGCTGCTTTTGCTCCTTCTCCCTCTCTTCTTCCTCCCCCCCTCCTCCCCCCTTTCTCTTCTTTCTCCCCCTCCCTTTCCTCCTCCCCCTCCCTTCTTCTTGTTATTCTGACAGTGGAAATAGTTCTAAACTGGATGCCACAGGGTTTGAAAGATCATCACATCCTGAGGGCAAACACAGCTATTTCTTAGTTGGACTTTACTGGGCTGTCAACACTAACTTCTCCATACCGCCAGGGACCCAAACAACTGGCCCAAACAAGAGTCCTCGCACCCCATTCTGTCTGTGCGGTAAAAGGATTGTAGGCAATGGCATTGCTCATGCAGGTGATAACCCAGTGCTCCACTTAACGGGGAGAATACTTCTACAGAGGTACAGAGAATGAAAACATTAAGTGGGAAATCAGACATTGCCCCTCACATTCCTTGGATAAAGATGCCACATAAACGATTCACTGGAGTCTGCCCACTCAGCAGAGGGAAAATGATTTTACATAGAAGTGGTTGGTCATCTCATTTTTGCTGTGGAATCAGGGAAAGTCTATGTATATAATAAAAGGAATAGGTGACTGACTCATAGAAATAAAAATACAAATAGGTAGTTAAAAGCAGAAACACCAAATACACGCCAGGAGTCTGGCTGTGAATGGGGACAGAGCAAAGCATAAGAGGAAGTTACCAAATGTTCCTGGTCCTATGCACATGTAGAATCAATAAAGATAGGACCAATAAAATTGATAACCGATACACTGCATTATGCCATAAAGAGATAACTATCCAAAGACGAATGTAGGAAAGGAGGGAAGAAAGCACTGGTTAAACCACCTTTCTATCTGGCTGAGGCAGGGTCAAATATCCTATGATCGAGGCCCATATTAGCTCTGCCGCTTCATACCACATCCCTGAAAAACGAAGGGGAAAGATGGAACAGACCGCTAGTATCTGTGCATGGTGTTAGAAAACACTTTTGAAAACTAATACAGAAAGAAGATTCATTGGCTCCTGTTAGGAAAATTCAGGGCTGAATTACATCGACAGCAATTGGCAGATACCAATCTGCTGGGAAAACAGCAACTGATTTTTCTAGCTGGTTCAATACAGATAATTTCCCTTTCACAGGAAAACAGTAAAAAAAATATTATATATCATATATAATGCGACATTAACATGAAGATAATTAAATCCAGGATTTACAAGAATAATTACCATTCTATGTTAACATTTTTCAAACACCTTAGTTTGCATTTTATTTAGTTAATTAATTTGAGCACCTGCAGCTCCTTTTTATTAGTCCTTTCTGTTGCTTTTTAAAGTCTTCTGTGCTCAGGTGAGGAGAGGGCTTGGGGACAGGCTAAGAAGCCCACAGGGGTCCCAGGGGCTCCCCAAGAGTTCTCTCTTCTCTCCAGCTGATGGCACAGCCTCTGCCCTGTGTCCCTCCACAGGACCTCTCGCTGGGACCCCTACTCCCGATGTCCAGATTGCTTGTCTGTGGGGACAGTGCCAGAGACCGTCTCGTGGACTGTTGGCAAGCCACTGAGACTTGCTGGACTATAAACATCTGGACTATAAAGAGGGCCATGCACTTTAAAGTACAACTAGCATTCTATACATTTTGCCTTACAAACTCAGGAATGCCTTCTGAGGAATGAATGGGTGAGGTGTCAGGGTGGTTTAAAATAAGGAAAACGGTGTGGAGGTTCCTCAGGAAATTAACAATAGAACCCCGCTATGACCCAGCAATAGGGGAGGAAGTTACCCAAGGGATATAGAAATGCTGATGCATAGGTGTACATGTACCCCAATGTTCATAGCAGCACTCTCTACAATAGCTAAAACATGGAAAGAGCCTAAGTGTCCATCAACTGTTTAATGGATCAAGAAGATGTGGTTTATCTTTATTATGGAATACTACATGTCAATGAGAAATAATGAAATCTGGCCATGTGTAGCAACATGGATGGACCTTGAGGGTGTTATGCTGAGCAAAATAAGTCAGGCAGAGAAGGACAGCTACCATATGTTTACATATATAGGTGGATTAGGAGGAAGCTAATGGAGGACCATGGGGGAGATGAAGGGGGGAAATGGTGGGGGAGAGGGAGAGAGGCAAACCATGAGAGACTTTTGAATGCTGAGAACAAACTGAGGACTGATGGGTGTGGGGGGGAAGGGGAAATGGGCATGGAGGAGGGCACTTGTGGGGATGAGCACTGGGTGTTATATGGAAACCAACTTGACAATAAACTATTGGTAAAAAATAAATAAATAAAAATAAAAATAAAATGCCTTAAAAAAATAAAATAAGGTAAAACTCTATCACATGGAGTCCCATAGAACTGAAAGTCAGATGCCAGAAATAATGCTGAGAACCCTACAGTTAGTATCATGATATACACCTGTATATTTCTTTAACAAAACTCAACAGAAAAGATTTTGTTTTGTTAATGTTCATAACACTCCCGGGATCCCAAATGTCATTTTCTTTTCAATGAGGAAACTAAGAAGAGTGCGGATTAGCAATTTTAACTAGATACAGTGAGAAAATTCCATGGTAAAACTTTGTAGCCAGACTTTGTAAATGAGCCCTGAGAGAAGCGAATGTTTGATGACCGTACCTAGCTTTTGCAGAATCTGCCCTCGGATCTGTATGCACACCGACTGCACCAGGACCTTGTCACTTTCGTTTCTGTACAGCCAGGTACCTACACATAAAAGGGAAAAAAGAAAAGTAGTTTTAGCTCCTAATTATCAAGTAAATAGCCCGGTAAAATGAAACTGTTTTCACAGAAGCCTTCATGAGCACATGTGATACAGATTTGAGAGATGATCTCTTCTCTACATTTAAAGAAAGGTCCAAACTCCTCGCTATCATGTACAAGCCTTCACAGAAACAAACTCCTGCCTGGTCTCCAAGTCTCCACACTGACCGTGCTCTGTCATGGCAGCTTCACTTGTGTTCCTTATGTGGGAGATGCCTCTTGTTTCACGGCCTCTGAACTTTCTGCTACCTCTGCCCGGGATCTGCTTTACTCTGGTTCCTGAGGAGACCAGCTTCTCCTGCTTCAGGTCTCAGCCTCAATGTTATTGCCTCCAAGCCCCCCGAGTTAACTTGCTATAGTATTACCCCATGGTCTGTGGTTGCCTAGTAGAGGGTGGGATCCTTCCCATCCAACCAAAGTTGGTTTGGAGGTGGAGACCGATGATTGCACACACACACACACACACACACACACACACACACACACACACTTCAACAAGATATGAAAAGATTTAGTACTGACATAGTGAGCCTTTCTGAGAAGAGGAGACAGGTACCCAAGCTGGTGCATTTGACTTGTGTGAAGAGAGTGGGGAGTGGCTTTGGTTTCTACTGTCATTAGGGTGTGTGCTGGGGTAAAGTCTCCCACAAGCTATGCCTGGTTTACTGATGAGTAGGTTTAAAACAAACCAAAAAACAACCCTCCTTCCCACCAGCCTGTCCAGTTGTGGGATAAAGTGGGTGGCGGAAGGCTGGGGCCTGCAAACTGCCAGTGGTCAAACACCAAAAATAGAGTCAAACTCATTACTATACCCTCCTTGATTCTCTGTCACATCACCCTCTCTATTTTCTCCCTCGCTTTTGATCCATGTATGTGTGCGTGTGTGTGTGTGTGTGTGTGTATGTGCGCATGTGAGGTGTAGAAGATGGGAAGTGTGTATATCATAGGTTAGTGATGGTGGCCACAAATGATGGGTGTGGGGTCAATATCTGTATTCCAAACTGCTTCTCCACTGGAATGTCTACAAGTTTCAAGGTGCTTGGGACCTTATAACCAACCAAGCACACTGAACTTTAAATTCTACTGGAAGTTGTGTTGACCTTACCGGGAAACTTGTTGACTTTAACGCCCAGAATTTCAGGCAAGGTAGCTGAAGGTTTAAATAATTTGTTATCCAACTATTAGATTTGCTTCCTTTCATTTATGATTAAATACTGAAAGAAATCCATTTCAAAATAAGTTATTAAAATACGTACATGGCAAAATCAAATTTATTTTCCAAATCATTTAAACATATAAAGCCATAAATATATTTTTCTCAACTTACAGGCTTTATCTCCACTTACAAGTCTCCTAAAGGCTGCTACTGAGTCCCTTTTGGGGTCCATAGAGTTTCCTGCTTTAACCTCATATTGTTCATTAGATAATACATTTTACAATAAAGCCTGGAAAATTAGAAGCTTTGGTTGTTCTGTTTTGTTTTCATTTTTTTAAAAAATATTTTTTATTTATTTCTAGGAGAGAGAGAGACAGCGTGATCAGGGGAGGGTCAGAGAGAGAGGGAGATACAGACTCTGAAATTGGCTCCAGGCTCTGAGCTGGCAGTCAGCACAGAGCCTGACGCGGGGCTCGAACCCACGAACCGCGAGATCACGACCTAAGCGAAAGTCGGACGCTTAACCGACTAAGCCACCCAGGCGCCCCTGTTTTCATTTTTAATTAGAGAAAATGGAGACACAGAGAAATAAGCTCCTTGACCAAAGCCACTTCATTCATTAATGGCAAAGTCAGTCCCAGCTAGCTCTGGAGACATCTAGTCTACAGCAGCTATTAGGTTGTTGCTTTTAAACTAGAACTTCAGTTCAATTGCAGGTGAAGGTCACTGTGAAGATAGGAAAGCACCTTACCTGTTGCTCCATTGTTGCTTATTAAACTGCTCAGGATATATTCTGCTTTTAAAAGTTTCCCTGAAAAGAAGCAACCAAATGCCACACAATTAGTTCCTGAACATGTGCCTTCAATACTACTAGTAGTTTAAGCTCTCAGAGTAACACACTGTTACCTCTCTTGGAAACATTCTATTTTTAAATTAAAAATCAATAATTACATCATATATCAAAGTAAACAGAAAGATGACATTTCCAGGAATTGGGAAGGTGGGAAGTTGCACAGTATCTGAAATGGCAATTAGATTTACACACACACACACACACACACACACACAAACACTCATTCATATAGAATAAGGCTTGAAAAATAAAGATAAATCTTTATAAAACATGTGTCTTCTTTCTGTGAACAAGACTACTGAAAGGAAGTAAAGAAAGGAGGGAAGGAGGGAGGAAGGAAGAAAGGAAGGAAGGGGAAAACCACTTTCTGAAATCATGAGTTACGGCCTGATTAAAATGTATTCATTCCAATGTGTTTAGAAAGAGAGCAATAACTTGAAATACCTATGTAAATAAATTTTAGCAAAGGTATCTTTATTCTTTTTTTAAAATTTTAAATGTTTTTTATTTATTTCTGAGAGAGAGAGACAGCATGAACAGGGGAGGGACAGAGAGAGAGGGAGACACAGAATCTGAAACAGGCTCCAGGCTCTGAGCTCAGCACAGAGCCCGATAGGGGGTTTGAACCCACGAATTGTGAGATCATGACCTGAGCTGAAGTCAGACGCTTAACCAACTGAGCCACCCAGGCGCCCCAAGGATCTTTACTCTTAAAAGTTATATTTTCTAATTAGGTTTTGCTGATATATAAGGAAGGGTAGTTTTAAAAAATACTGATTTGTATTTGCCAAATTTCCTGAATGTCTTAATTCTAATAATCTGTGTATTTCCTGAAGTTTTCCATGTGGGCAATCATACTGTGCACAAACCCTGCTAATTGTGTTTATTCATTTCTAATCTTTATACCTCTTATTTCTTTTTCTGTTTTCATTGCATTGGGAGGACTTCCAGTTTATGATCAAATAGAAGTAATAATAAGATGCATTTTTTTTCTTGACTTGATTTTAAAAGGAATATTCCTAACTTTTCACCAGTAGTTTTGCCAAAGGTTTCCAGTTGCTTCCTTTTTATCACGTTAAGATGTTCCCTCTTGTGCAGCTATCAGCTTATTGCCTTTCAGCTCCAAATCCATCCTTCATTGCCTGCTTTGCAGTAATGGGAATGGACCTTGTAAATATTTCTCCTTTGACAGCTTTGTCATTAGATGGTGTAGAGAGATGGGGCACCTGGGTGGCTCAGTCTGTTAAACGTCCGACTTGGGCTCAGGTCATGATCTCATAGTTCCTAAGTTCGAGCCCCGCGTCGGGGTCTGTGCTGACAGCTCAGAGCCTGGAGCCTGCTTCAGATTCTGTGTCTCCCTCTCTGTCTGCCCTTCTTCTGCTCATTCTGTCTTTCTCTCCTCTCAAAAATAAATAAACATTAAAAAAAAAAAAGCTGGTGTGGAGAGACTGCAAGGGGAAGACGCTTCTCTTCCTCATGTAGTGTGCCACTCTTGCCAGCCTCCTGCAGTGCTTAGAGCTGCTCCAACTCCTGCCTGCTGCAGCGTTCTGGCTTCTCCTGTGCCTTCCTTCTACAGCACAGGTGGCTTCTCCAGCACCTGGCTCCTCAGAGGTCAGCAGCACCCAGCAGCCAGCAGGGTCCTGCAGCATCCTCTCAGGTGACTTCACAGTGGAGTAAGCGCTGCCTGCCAGTGAGGCACGTCTCGGTGACTGCTTCCTCCCGGTGGTGTTCCGTAAGGGCAGCTTTGTGGTGGCACCTCTCTGAGGATGGCTTCCCTCAGCACCCCAGATGCTGGATTTCTGGTGAGTTCTGCTGGCATAGAAACTCCTTGACTTCTCTGCCATCCAGTGAGCCACGGCTGTGCCTTCTCCAACAAGGTGTTGATCACAGTCCCGGTGTGCCTGGCGGTGTGTCTGCGACATTTTCTTACATGCTCTATCTCAGTACAAGGGATGGTGGTTGTTCTTTACAACTGCTTACTGTGTATTCCTCAGAGTCTTCTTTCCTACTTACTAGCCAATCCTTCATTTATCCCCTGACATATGAATAACTCTTTTATACTGAACGTTCTTTTTTCAAATTAGTGTGTTGTTTCTGTCTCCTGACTGGAAGATGACTAATAACATCTCTAACCCTAGTTTGTATTTTTAACCTAAACGGGTTGGAAATTTTATAAAGCACTGCTCACATCAATTTAGGTGAACATGTAGCTTTCTTGTCTACTCTGTCCGTGAGGTGAATTGAATGAGTTAATTATTATTATTATTACTATCCCTTTTGGTGAACCTTACACCCAATGTGGGGCTTGATCTAAGGACCTCAAGATCAAGAGTCACAGGCTGTACCACCTGAGCCGGCCAGGCAATCCTGAATGAATCAACTTTTATTTATTTATATATTTTTTTGTTTATTTATTTTTGAGAGAGAGAGAGACAACGCATGGGGGAGAGGCAGAGAAAGAGGGAGACACAGAATGTGAAGCAGGATACAGGCTCTGAGCTGTCAGCACAGAGCCCAACTTTGGGTTTGAACTCCCAGACAGTGAGATCATAATGAGCCAAAGTCTGATGCTTAACCAGCTGAGCCACCCAGAAGCCCCTGAATGAATCAACTTTTAAATATTTAACCATCTTTATGTATCTGGAATAAACAGATGACAGCCTTCCTTTACTGTAATGTATTATTATTAATTTAATGTAATGCTGGTCAATTTTTATAATATTTTAAGATTTTTGCACCTGATAAATTATGTAAACAATACTGCCATATAACTTCCTTTTATTTTCATTTTAATTAGTTTGATCTATGCATTTACCAATTATTTTTCTACCATTGCTTTTTGAATCTCCTACTCCATCTGTATAAATTCAACTTCCTTCTTTAATGTGTGCATTCATGAGAGAGATGTCTTGAGAATAATAATTATGTTTAGTCTTTGTCTGAAAACGTCTATTTTGTCCTCACTTTTGAATGATGATGATTTTTGCTGAGTATAGAATTCTAGGCTGAAAAGCTATTTCCTCTCAAAAAAATTTTTTTTGGTAGATTCCACTGCTTTCTGGACTCTGTTATTCCCGATAAGACGCTTTTTGTCAGTCTAAATACAATTCCCACATAAATAATCTGTCTTTTCTCTGTTTCCTTTAAGATTTTCTCATTGTTTGATTTTCTGTAATTCCACCACACTGTGTCTAGGTGATTTTTTATTAAAAATTTTTTTTGCTCAAGTTTGGATCCACCTTTTCTGTGCAAAGACATGTGTTTTCCTCTGATTCCAGTCAAATCTCCCAGAAGTCCTATTCGGCTTACGTGCTTTTTTCATTCTATTCTTCAAGTTTTTAAAATTCCTCTTTCATTTTTTCATCCACCTGACTCTATATGCTTCCTTCTCAGGGTTTTCCTTAAATATAATATCCAGGTCCATCATTTTCTGTCTTGCTGTTTGAACTGTTGCGTGAACACACTCAGGTAGGTCAGTTAGGGGGATGGAACACCTGAGAAACTGGCCTAGGAAGTCTGTCTTTCCTGGGAGAATGTTACTGCTCCCCTGGAAAGGCAGGCACATGGTCAGAGTCTTTGGATCGTCCTTTGCTGGCCTAGTGAGGTTCAGGGAACAGCATCAGTGTTGTCTGGGAGCTAGTTAGACATGCAGACTCTGAGGCCCTGCCACAGACCTGCTTAGTCAAGGATCTGCATTTTCAGTAAGCTGTCCGGGTGCTTCAGCAATGTTTGAGAAGCACTGCTGCCTGCGACTCTTTATCACCGGCCTGAGATGAGATTAAGTGAAAAATGGAGAACAAACGTTCAGAAAATTTTTTTAAACCTTTTGCCAAAGTAATGTTATGACTCTTCGATCTAATAATAAGTACTTTAGACTCATAGTTTTATGTATCTTTTGTTTTTTTTTTTTCATTTTTCTAATAATCTATTTTACTGCATTCACCTCGGTTTAAGCAGCTTGTTGGGCAGGTGGTGTCCTTATCAGCACTTGAAATTCAGGAAGCATCACTGCCAACTGGGAGAGCTGCTGGGTTTTGGCTCTTTCTATCCATCCCCGTGTGGTTACCCTCTTGTAGCCCGGATCGACAAAAAAAAAGGAACTTATGCTGTGCCTGCTTTGTAGGCAATTCCCTACAATTACTATGCTTTCTTGACAACCACACTGATTTTTATTTATTTATTTATTTATTTATTTATTTATTTATTTTTACAAATAGTTTATTGTCAAATTGGTTTCCACATAACACCCAGTGGACAACCACACTGATTTTTAATGTCAATTGCTGTATGTTTTTCTGAAAGTTCTCTTTAGTTCTTTTTAAAAATAGTGAATTCATTTTCTTTTCCTGTTGTGTTCTATTTTTTTATTATTCTTTTTTTAATGTTTACTTTTAATTTTTGAGAGAGAGAAAAACAGAGCATGAGTGGGAGAGAGGCAGAGAGAGAGAGACACACAGAATCCGAAGCAGGCTCCAGGCTCTGAGCTCTCAGCAGAGCCCGATTCAGGACTCGAACTCATGAACCATGAGATCATGATCTGAGTTGAAGTTGGACGCTTAACCGACGGAACCACCCAGGCACCCCTGTGTTCTATTCTTTAAACATACTACTTTTTTAAGCCATTTGAGTCTTGGGGCACATGGGTGGCTCAGTTGCTTAAGCATCTGACTCGATTTTGGCTCAGACCATGAGCTCGTGGTTTGTGCATTCAAGCGTGACTCACCTCAGGCCATGCTATCAGCACAGAGCCCTCTTGGGATTCTTTCTCTCTCCCTCTCTGCCCCTCACCCACTCACACACTCTATCTTAAAATAAATAAATAAACTTAAAAAAAGCCATATTAGGGGTGTCAGACTCTGTACTCATAGCTCGGAGCCTGAGGCCTGCTTCAAATTCAAATTCCCTCTCTCTCTGCTGCTCCTCTGCTTGTGCTCTCTCTCCAAAGTAAATAAATATTAAAAAAAAAAATGAGCCTTTCAGGTTGTTCTATTTTTATATTTTGTTTTGGAGTGCCATGTTTCCTGTTTATTGCACATGGTGTTCTTCTCTCACGTTTCATTTCCTGTGTTGCCTATACAGTTTAATCTAAGAGCACCATCAGCAAGGAATGTTCTCCTGTGGAATTCCTATGCCCCTGGACCATGGATATTTCTCTAGAATATAGTTTTGTACATGATATTCTGCCGAGCCTCCAAAATGGCAGTATTGAACTGTTTTTTTCAGTTAATTATTTGGGGGGAGTCCCTCCTTTGTGGGTAGAGTAAATTTAGACTCCACACTCACATTTGGCACAGTCTTGTGACTTTTATTTATTTATTATTTTGGCCTACTGCCCCAGAGCTTGGGCAGAGAGCAAGCTTCCTTGCCACTTCTGTGGGTGAGCTGGTGGAACCCTCATAGATGGGCACAGCTTTAAGAATTCCAGCTTTGGGGCATCTGGGTGGCTCAGTCAGTTAAGCGTCAGACTTCAGCTCAGGTCATGATCTTGCAGTTTGTGGGTTCGAGCCCTACATTGGGCTCTGTACTGACAGCTCAGTGTCTGGAGCCTGCTTTGGATTCTGTCTCTCTCTCTCTGCCCCTCCCCCTGTTCATGCTCTGTCTCTGTTTCTCAATAATAAATAAATGTTTAAAAAAATTAAACATTCCAGCTTTATGTAAATATTTCACTCCTCACACAGGCCCAAGGTCCTGTCTCTTGTCCCTGCATGAGAATTAAAATGACAGTCCCTTCCCCTAGTCATACCAAGTGTAAACCCCTCTGGCTACAGTGTCATGAGCAGTAGTCTACTGTTCTAACTTTGAACACTTTCTAGCACTTAAAAAATGTATTCACAACATTTATGTAATAAGAGAAGATTATACACTTGCTTAATGCTCCATGTTGATGAAACTGGAGTTTGAACCTTTATCTGTAATTATAGCTTAAAAGGTTTTGCCTCCTAATTTTAGGCAAGAGTGAGCAGGACAGGCCCAGGATGCCCTCCATTGTCTCCGAAACCCCACATGTTGAAATGCCCCGAGCTTTGTCATGTGTTTTGGGTGGATACCAGGTAGGGTGACAGGAGGGGTATGCTGTCCCCTCATGTTACTTTTACTCCTCTTCCTTACTACTTATAATATCATATAGTCACCTCACTCTTCTGACACAGGAGTCCCAGGTGCTGAGGGTGGAGATCCCTTATCATGGCACCTTCTTTACCAGGACACCACTCCTGCTCTAAGTCTCTCTCTCTTTGAGACATCTAGTGTAGGGGGAAGTTCAAGAGTTGTTTGAGGGCAGAAATTCACAAATACGGTAAAACCTGGAATTGCAAATAATTTGCTCTGCAAGTGTTCTCCAAGACAAGCAAATATTTCTAATACATTTTAGCTTGCTAAATGGGCCATGTCTTGCAATACAAGTAAATGTTACATGATCACAAATGAGCCAATGGTTCTTCTCTCTCTCTGAGGAATCGTGGGTGACCATCTCCCATGATCAGATGTTCAGTGTCAGGCTGCGGTGTTTGGCAGAAATCAGTGATTCTTCAGAACGTTGGAAGGTGTCCATAACTGGCACTTCAAAGCACCTATGGAGAGTCCTTTGCTTTTCCATACAAGAGTAAGCTTAGGAATGCTTTGCTTTATTCTAGGTCGGCCTGCCTGCAGATACAGACCCTTTCCTCTACTGCCTTATTGCCAGTAAAATACAGTATATGAAAAGAGTTTATTAATACCGTACTGTATTAATGAAGTCACGAAAGTTTTCAAAATAAGTACATACATGCGGGCGTATACCATGGCCCCCATGCAGAAAAATGTTGAAAAGAAAGGCGGTAACAAGGAGATGATTATGGTGGAAGTTAAGAAGGAAATCACTGAGAAGGTTGAATGACGTATGCTGGTGGCCAAAACTGCAAGATTTTATAAGAAGTCTACGTCTGTGTCTCGTCTGCAGAGGAGAAGGAGAAAAAGATGGAGGAACCCCTCACTTCAAAAGAGATTAGGGAGATGTGTAAAATGTTGGCAGCGCAGAATTTTGTAGAAAAGCACCACCCAAATAAGGCTGTAGCAGTGTGAACGATGAATCTGTTTAACGAGCATGCCATGTCACATTTCCGTGAAATCCCCAAAAAGGGGTAAAAGCAAGTGTCATTGGGTAGGTTCCTTGTCCAAGTTTAACAAAAATAAAAAGATTTCAGTGAGCCAATAGATGCAGTGATTCTCTTTGTGATAGTGAAAGCTGTTCTACAAAGTAACCCTACTCTTTCTTGTCTCCCTCATACCAGCCTTGAAGGATTTCTAAGTAAGTACAGGTTAATTTATTTTTCTTTACATTTTATATTTTCTTTATTATTTTGTTTTATATTCCAGTATTGTAATCACTTTATATGAGTATGTTTGGGTTGGGGAACAAATCATCTGAGTTTCCATTATTTCTTATGGGGAAATTCGCTTTGCTATACAAGTGCTTCGGATTACAAGCATGTTTCTGGAACACAGTATGCTTGCAAACCAAGGTTTTACTCTATTCACTTAACTCTGAGGCTGTGTTTGTGTTCTTGTGGCTCTTCTGGTAGCTTCTTTGAGGAAAAGACAACCCAACTGTTGGGGACTAAGATCTAGAATTTTATCTTAGACGTACGACATGTGAGCAGAAGAGGATATTATTTGTGACGATATCTAGACTTACTTGTCATTAGGGTTGGAAGCATGAGATAAACAACAAAATGAACCAGTGAAAATTTCAGTTTGGCTGCGTAAAGCAAAGCTATCAACAGGACTGTTGACCACTTGACCTCAATTTCCATGTCCCACTTTAGCAATTCTGTACATCATCAACGAGGTCACATTAACTCTGCTCCAAGTTCTAACTGAGGACGACCAATCTGGAAGTCTGCTGTGCACACCCATCCTTCATCACTCTGTTCTCCCCACAGAAGTCTATGCACACACATCATCGCCGTCTGATGCCATCAGAAGGAGCATTAGTTGTTAAGTTTCCCTCATACCCCAAATATTATAAACTCCAAACGCTGTAAAATGTCCCAGGTCAGTATTTCGGAAGGAGGAAAGTTTTCCTAAGTTCCACCCTGTCCCTTCAGTTGCTCTAGAAAAGTAATCAACAGGGACACAATTTACGCACAGCTGCAAGAACTTGAAAGTGAATGAACTTGGGCTTTTGAAAAGTTAACCTTCACAAGCCCATTTCTCTCACGTCCTTTTATCTCTGTGCCTCTCTGCATCCAACAATTGTCCCATTTAGTATAGTCAGTACAGTTCCTTTTCAAAGGAAGTGAAGTAAAGATGTTTTAACCCCTTGAAGACCAGGCTTATTAAAAACAGTAACAATAGCTAAAATCAATTTAAAAAAGGAGCCAGTCCTGTTTCCGGGAAGGGCAACTTGCCTTCTACTTCTGTCTTTTATTCTTTCACTCTTAGAAATGAGAATAGCAGGCTACACATGTTCTAAACCTCGTGGTTATCAGTAATTTAAATAATTCAAAAATTCTATGGAGGTAAACTTCACTGTAATGCATAGCAGGCCCCTTTCCCCTCCAACCCCCCTCTACATTACATCCTAAGTTAGAATGTCAGCCTCATTTTTCATTTCATTCAAAGTGACAGAAGGAAAAAAAAAAAAGATACTTTAAGGCCTAATCAGGTACTGTACCGGTCCCAGGGATGGAAAAAACCCTCAAATTACTTCAGTGGGTTTGTCAGCTCTATTGTTAGCATAGTCAAGTGGCCCTACAGAAAGGAGACAGGAGAACTAAGAGAAAATAGTAGAATTTTAATCTGCTTTTTTAAGGCTCTTGGTCAGAAGTATAGCAATTCAGATACCCCTGTTTGAAAGCAGCAGGACAGATTTGTTAGAAGACAAAAGCTCCAATTAGTATTTTCCACACCCTTTCACAATTTTCTCTACCGCTTTTGGCTCTGAAACCCTTTATGCCAGGGCCTTTGTGCTGGCAAGAGGCGGGTGGAAGGGCACCGCGGGCCGGGGGCGGGGAGAGCCCGCAGCTTGAAAAGATGGCCCGCGGGCCCGGGTGCCCGCCGCGCTCCCCGCGGAAGTCAAGGAGCCCCGGAGGGAAGGCGAGCCCCAGGCCGGACGCCGCCGGGACGGGGAGGGGCCTACCTGCGTTGACCGAGAGTCGGGCTTGGCGAATGACCACCTGCGGGGCGATTGGCGTCGCCGGCTGCAGCTTGTGGAGGCCTCTGGCGACCTGCAGGAGCTGGCCCGACACGTCGAGCCCGTACAGGAACCGGTCGCTTAAGAACACGATGGCAGCTGCGGTGGCGTAGTCGCGGGAGCGGATGGAGGCTTTCAGGGACGCCTGGAGGGGCAACCACGAGACACAGTGAACCGGACAGAAGCCGCGCAGGCACAAGGGGAAGGAGCCTGGAGACCAAGCTCACTCTGCTAGGTGTTTTGATTGAAACGAGAGCCACAAAACCTAGAACTAAGGGGAGACGCATACTTCACTGGGCGGCCGCACTAAAGGAAAAAGAAGGAAAAATCCAATTCAGCTGGGAGATAAAATATTTCTTTTCCCTCACTACATTTCTAAAATTATACAAGTGCTAAACGCATATTTCCTGTTATTAGAAAATCCAAACAACACAAGGTAAAAATGAAAAGTGCTCCTTAGTTAGTCGACTCTTTACATTATTTTTCCCCTCCTCTCTTCAATCTCATTCTCATTCCTCCTTGTAATGGTGTCAGAGGTATCCTTCTAGAAACTTCTACCCTTTTGTGTGTGTTTAGACATTAATTGATTCCTTGTCTTGCCTTGATTTCTCCCCCCTTCTCCTCTCCCTCCTTTTCTCTCATAAATGAGATTACACTAGGCATATTGTTATGCTAGTTGGCTCTTTCAGTCATGGTAACATCTAGAGGAGGGTTCCACATCAGTTCACAACACTCTGCTTCATTTATTGCCTACGTTTTAATTAAGAGGAATACAGAATTTTAGGTAACATTTTAAATTTGATTTATATTCGGTTAATGAATACAACACGAAAAAGAAGAAAACAGGCAGGAAATGAAAGTGTAACATAAAGAATGAGACAAATGAGGCAGAATTTTATGGGAAAACGTCACTTTCGGTCTCATGAGGCGTTATATTAAAGACATTCAAAGTCTTGTAGCTACTAGCATAATTGAGTATCCCACCCAGTAGTACTTTCTCCATTTGCTAAACTAAAGCTGTGTTTTCAGAGTCTGTGAGTCACATATAAAGCCCAGAAGGCATTGCTCATTTTCCTAGTGCAATGTTACTACACAAAGCGCTGCTACATAATCCTAAGTACTAACATTTATTGGATAAAATCTAGGTGCTGGGCACAATGTGAAGTGCATTCCATGTACTAATTCACTCACTCTTTACAACAATCCTAACAGGCAGATTCTATTTAATAAGCCCGTTTTACAGAGGGGAAACCTAAGACTCATAGGGGTTAATTAACATGCCCAATGTCACATGACCTGTGACTAAGAGGGGGGATTTGAACACAGGAAGTCCAGGTCCAAATCCCACATACTCAAGTCCCATGTGGTAGTGACTTTATTTTAGGAAACAGGAGTTGGACATCAGTTATCTGATAATTGCAGTGATGTCGTATATATCAAATGTGTAATCAATGTTGTTACAGTTGCTGGTCTGAGCGTGATTTACTTTAACAAATTGAAAGTAAGAGAGGATACATTCAAATTGGGAGAGAATAATCTCTGCTTTTCAAAATCTGCTTGAAACCGTCCTTTCAGAGTTTTAATTTGATTCTTGTGTATCTCTGAGTAAAACCGGCCTAAGCTTTTGTATCCGGCCCAGTCAGGAATTCTATCTATGGTGCTTTTTCACATGATTTGGCTTTTGGCATATATGTTTTGGTGTGCTTATCTACAGCACTGCATACAGAAAATAACATTTGTATTTATAGGTATTCATCCATCAGGTAAAGCCTACCAAGAACCAGTACAGTAAGCCCTCTATTTTCATACTGACGATTTCTTAACTCATTAAAGCTTTTAAGCTATTGCTGTGTTTATGAAGTCTGGAAAGTGATAATTTGTGTTTATATTTACTCTCTTGTTCAAATTGATCACTGTTTTCGTTGATGCCATATACTAGGGGGCACTATCCCTTCTCCCTTCTTGATGTTTCCTTCCATGTGAAGGGAGCGAGCTTACATACCGTAGCACTCCTGGCTCTCTCTTTACCCACTCTGCCCCAGGGGAGTGGAATGACTAATCTGATTGGTAAATTTGGGATGAAGAAACTGGGCGTGTCTGGTTTAGCTCCCCTCCCCCCTCTCTTTACCCCCTTGGGAACAGCTGTCTAAGGGAAACAGAATACTCTGCTCTTTTATATCATGAGTCTTATCTAGAAAACCACCCTATATGTGGTGTTCTGCTTGCCTCGGTAATTTCTGTGACTGAATGGGAATGTCTATATAATTCCGGGGTTTAGCTAGCAGACCCCCTGTACTCTAATATGAAGCTATATCTTTCTCCTTTTTAAAGCTTATTTATTTATTTTGAGAGAGACGGAGTGAGTGGAGGAGGGGCAGAGAGAGAGAGAGGGAGAGGAAGAGAGAATCCCAAGCAGGCTCTGTGCTGGCACAGAGCTGCTAGCACAGAGCCCCACATGGGGCTCAAACTCAAGAAACCATGAGATTGTGATCTGAGCCGAAACCAAGAGTCAGAGAGGCTTAACCTACTGAGCCACCCAGGCACCCCTGAAGCTGTCTTTCAATTTAGTCTTTATCAGAATTAAAGGTAAAGCTTAACCTGATGTCTGCCTACCTTTTTTAATTTTTTTTTAATTTCTCAGTTTGCTCAGAATCCAGGAGGGAAGGAATCCTGGATCCTCTCAAAGATCCCAACATTAATCATTGCCTGATATACCATAATCCTTTCTGAGGACAACTGCTTTGCCGGCAGCCCCTACCTTTGAAACAACTATACATTTTGCTGCTTGACCTTGACTCCATTTCCCCACCCAACCACCAGCTCAAAGCTAACCCAAAAGTACCTGGCCCCATGACTCTGTGGCCTGGCTTGAAAACATGAACTTTCAAATCTGAACTCACAAATACAGAAGGGTAGAAAGAAGCAGAAAATAGAATGTAGCTAAGTCATATTTATGGGCAACAGCAGGGTGAGGATTGAAGAACGATGGCCCTGTATCCAAATTTACCTTTTCATGAGGGCCATTCTTATAGTTACAGGCCTCCTTTATTTGTTCCATTATGTTTTCATAATAATGTACACCCCATTTAGTGAATGTGCTTAAGTGAACCTTGGTTCCTTCCAACGGGGGGGGGGGCACCCCAAACTAAAACCACAATGCTCAAAACTTCTGTTGAGAATTGTCAAGCAAATCGCCAATCTGAACAACACAAATCTTGAAGCAAGAAAAAGTCAGTCACTTGACATGCAGAAACTGTAAATCAAATGGAAATGAAATGGAAAGGAAAATCTATGGTATTATGTATGCCCAGCTCTGTTCAAGAAGGGCAGTCTCTGGTCAAGAGTCCTCACTTTGTGAGGTATACGTGATACAGTCCATGAGTTTGCAACCTCAGCGGTTATCTGCACCACTGGCAGCCTCTTCCACTTGCAGGTCTTCTTAAATGTCTGCTCTTCCTGCAACCCTGCTCATGACTACATACCGTGCAGGGTACTCAGCAAGCCCCAGGGGATTCCCTCTCGAGGCTGCGCTTTGGTGTATGCTTGATGTTTAGTTCTATTCTCCCTTCTTAGAGGTGCCCCATTGAGTTTTAGGGTAACTGTCTACCTACATGGGATGCAATGTTTAGTGACAGGCTATTTTCCAGGGGTGATTCTCAATCCTTACCTCTCTGATAAAAACGGTTTCCATCTAATTTATGAAAACCATTCATGTGCATTAGTCCAGTTAGATTTAGAGTAACTGTAAAATTTAAGTAAGGTAAGGAAACCGAAGTTGAGAGGTTAAGTGACTTTCCAAATTTATAAAGTCAAAGGGTCAGGGTCAGGCAAGAACCCAGATCTGTATCTTTAAAAATGCTTCTTCTTATTGTGATAAACAACACGTAACATGAAATTTACCATCTTCATCATTTTTAAGTGAACAGTTCAGTAATGTTAATCCACATTGTTGTGGAATAGATCTCCAGAACTTTTCAATCTTGCGAATATGAAAGTCTATACTGATTAAACAACAATTCCCCTTTCCCTGCCACAACCCAGGCCCTGTAACCACCATTTTACTTTTTTTTTTTTTTAAGTTCATTCACTTTTGAGAGAGAGAGACAGAGAGGGACAGAGAGACAGAGAGACAGAGAGAGAGAGAGAGAGAGAGAGAGAGAGAGAGCACAGGTGGGGGAGGGGCAGACAGAGGGGGACAGAGGATCTGAATGAAGGTCCATTCTGAGAGCAGGGAGCCAGATGCCAGGCTCAGACTCAAAAACCACAAGATCATGACCTGAACCAAAGTCGGATGTTCAACCAACTGAGCCACCAAGGTGCCCCTTACTTTCTATATCTATGAATTTGATTATTCTAGGTACTTCAAATAAGTAGAATCATATAGTATTTTTATGACTGGCTTACTTCATTTAGCATAATATCCTCAAGGTTCATTCATGTTATAGTAAGTGACAAGATTTCCTTCCTTTTAAGGCAGAAGTTTTCCATTGTATATATGCACCAGACCTTGCTTATCCATTCATCTGTTGATGGACTTTTGGGTTGCTTCAAACTGTTGGCTATTGTGAATAGTGCTGCCAGTAACATGGGCATGCAAATATCTCTTCAAAACTATGCTTTCAGTTATTGTGGCTATATATCCAGGAGTGGAATTAATGGATCATGTGGTAACTCTGTTTTTAATATTTTGAGAAAGCTCCAGACTGTTTTCCTTAGAGATTCCACTATTTTACAATCCCACCAACAGTGAACAGAGTTCCAATTTCTCCATATCCTTGGCCAGCACTTGAGGAACTCAAGTGCCTAAAGGGTCAGTTTTTCTTCTGCTTTCTCCCTGCAGTCTGATCAAGATGATTTTGCTCAGTGCCTAATCTTGGCATAGGATGCTGGGCCTTTGGAGCTAGGGCTAAACTCATAACTCACTGAATCCAAACAGTAGCTCTAAGAAACCATGTCTTTTATTATGATGAGAAAATTCTAAGGAGGAATAAAGGACTCCTTCCCCGCCAAAAAACTCCCACCATAATTGAAAAGAGGGCTTTTGTTATGTATTTAAAAGTAAAAGAAATATAGGAGATGGCCTTCAATGTTAGTGTTTTGAAATTCTCTAGTAAAACCTGGTGCCATGAGGGCAAATGATGACTT